AACAAAGAAAAAACTGAAGGAACAAAACAGCAGCAGACTCACAGAACCCAAGAATGGACTAACAGTTACCAAAGGGAAAGGGACTGGGGATGATGGGTGGGAAGGGAGGGATAAGGGGGAAAAAAAGGGGGGACATTACTATTAGCAGACATAATGTGGGGGAGGGAAGAGGGAGGGCTGTACAACACAGAGAAGACAAGCAGTGATTCTATAGCATCTTACTACGCTGATGGACAGTGACTATAATGGGGTAGGTGGTGGGGACTTGGTGATGGGGGGAGTTTAGTAAACATAATGTTCCTCATGTAATTGTAGGTTAATGATACCAAAATAAACATTTTTTTTTAATGTTTCACTTTATGAAGTGTTTGCAAAAAAAAATACTTAAGGTATTCCATTATAAACAAATTGGAATAAAAATAAGCTATCTTCTTACACAAAATTTTTGAATATAAACATTTAAACTCTTCTGAAGAACAGTCAAGGAAAGAAACTACTTGTAAGTCTTTAAAGGGTACAGTCAGTTTTTTGGTGATATTTTTCTGTTCAAGTTTTTGAGTTTTGATTTTTAGAGAGCATATAAAGAAAATTTGATTAGATTAAAAATAGAGGCAAATCCGATTCACTGTAACTTTTCCAAAGTAGAAACCTTTAAGATCCGTCTTTTGTCTATAGAATAATTAGTTGCTTTTGTGATTTTATTTAAGACATTTCCTTTGCCTTCAGCATTTCTCCAAGCCAGGAGTGCTAGTACCTAAAATTCCACTGTTAGGGATTCATTCTTTGCTTTGTACTTCGTGTACCTTTCTTTAAAAATGAGTTGTTCCTACGAGAAATTATCTTTTAAACTAATTTGCGTTAAGGTTTGATGTTAGCTTATCAGATTTTTAAAAAACTTACCTAAAGGGGGCTGGGGCAGGGATCCTAGGTCATGCTGAGAGTACTAGTAGAATGAGAATTTAGAAAAAGGAATGCTACAGAAAGGACAGGAGATGGACAGTGGTGAGATGGGAGTCACAAAATAATAGCTTCCCCTGGGTTATACGCCTGGTATCCCAGTTGTGCCTAGGAATAGCTCAAGGAGAGCTTTGTCTTGGAAGTGATACATTGTTTATGTTTTTGCTTTTGTGTTTTTGTTTTGTTCGTTTCTTTTTTTAGGCAGCTTTGCCAGCGACTGTCAACCAGATGGATGGCCCTCCGCGGACACAGTGCTGCTGATTGTGTGCGCATTTATTTGACAGTAGCCAGAAAGTGGCCTTTCTTTGGTGCCAAGTTATTTCTTGCAAAAGTAAGAAAGAATGTGAGGGAGATGCATGACGATGACCTTTGTATGTATATAGTTGACCCTATTAAGTTCAGTGAAGTAAACAGTGACAACAGTACCTCCAAGTTTAGTATATTCAGTGTTTAAAAAGAAAATAAAGAAATTCCCAACAATTTAAAGGAAACAATGAAGGGACACTAAAGAAGGGGCAGGAAAGCCATCAGTTTCTCTGTCCCCGTCTGTTCCATTTCCCCCACCTTAAATCATTTCTTATGCTCATTAGGTAATCATTAGATGGGAGACAACAGCTGTACTCTGCTTTCTTCTCTTCATCCATTCATCCTTTCACTTATTTATTCTCTCGCTCACTTGCACATTATTTAGTTCTTAGTGAATACTGCTTGCCAAACACTATGTATCTAGGGACACATAAACCCATGGTTTCAGATGTACCCAGACTTCCAGGAACTCACAGTCCAATGTTGCAACAGGCTTAGGAACAACCACTGTGCAGTGAATATGGTTCAGAGCAGGATGCACACAGTGCTACAGGGGAACTGGGGGAGGAGGGACTAACCTTGCAGGGGGTGGCCAGCCCTGTCCCCAAGGCAAGAGTATAGCTTTTAATCCCTCTGCTTTCTATTGAACCATGTCCCTTGGTACTCTCAGACTCTTAAAATACATACTTTCTTAGGTTATATTTTTGTGTGTATTTTGTTTTTTCTCACTAATAAGTTGTACACTCCTTGAGAGTATAGACTCACTGATCCTGAAATCCTGTCATGCTCACATAAGGCTTTGCACATAATTAGTATTTAATAAATATTTGTTGAATAACTGTATAACCTTGGGCAAGTCAATTAACCTGTCTGTAGCTCAGTTTCCTCATCTATAAATGAACAACTTGGACTAGAAAAGTAAAATCTAAGGTGTCTTCTAACTCGTGATTCTATGAATGACTGCATTATTGTGTGGCAAGAAATTATTTTGCTATTGGAAGCTCTATCCTGAGTTAACAGAAAAGTGATAGTATGTTTAAACATCAATACAATTAATATATTTGCAAGGAGTTAAATATGTTTTTTAAAATTATAAGGATTAGATTTCAACCATAGATCAGCATTTTACAAAGGATTTGAATTCTGATTTCAGCATTGGAAGGAATACTAAATATCCTTCTTTGATAACATGTTCTGGGCTTGCTAAGCACAGAAATATGATTAAATAATGATGTTGCATTTGCATATTTCATGGCTGGCATCTTTTTTTGCTCACTTTTCTTTCTTTGTAATATCAAGCACCTCCTTTGCTCAATGGCTCCATTTTTTTGGAGGAGGTGAAATAAATATAACATAAAATTTACCGTTTTAACCATTTTTAAGTGTACATTTTTGTGACATTATGTACATTTACTATATTGTGCTACCATCACCACCATCCTTCTCCAGAACTTTGTCATCTTACCAAATCAAACCTCTGTACTCCCTATTCCCCACCTCCCACCAGGCCCTGATAACCACCATTCTACTTTATGTCTTTTATGATTTTGACTACTCTAGAAACCTCATATAAGAAAAGTCATACAATATTTGTCCTTTTGTGATTGGCTTATTTTTCTTTGCATAATGTCTTAAATGTTCATCCATACTGAATAGCATGTGTAACAATTTCCTTTCTTTTTAAGGCCTGGATAATATTCCATTGTATGTATATGCCATGTTTTGTTTCTCTAAAGGACAACAAAACAACTACTTGTCAAAGGACAAATGAGTTGAATGATTTGGGTTCAGTGGTGTCCTTTTTAATGCCTGCCTGCCTGCCCTTTGCAAACCATCTCCCAGTGGACAGTGTGGTAACCCATGGGTTTTTATACATGAGATTCTAGTAAGTTTTATTATATCCAAATAACACAAGATTCATCCCAGCCCCTTATTATAGTCCTGACATTCTTTTATTTAAGTGTAGTTAAGTTTTTCTTAGACCTTCAATTACTGTTAAATTCAATCATTGTTAAACAGTCATTGTGGAATGCTCAAAAACTTTCATGGATTTTAATTGGGTTTTAGTGGTGAGAGTTTATTTTTATTAATATAATTTCATTGCTTTTTTCAAAAAAGAATTTAGGAGAAATTTTGGTATTTCTTGTTACCATGGATCACACAGTTCTATTTTTTTAATTCTATTTTTATTAGACATTGAATATCAGATTTAATAAACTTTCAGAAAAAGTGTGCATTTATAATAGTAATCTTTTACATTGTAATAGCACTGCACACCTTAGAAAGCACATAAATGTTTTGTTTCATTAGGATTTGGGCCATCATAGAAACCCTGCAAACTTTGTTAACTATTATCCTCTTGAGACAAAAGAAAAATAATATATAAATATTATTGTTCCCATGTTGAAGATGAGAAATTGAGTCCCAAGGAGACATGGTAGCTTGTCCAAAAGCACATATTAATAAACGGCAGATTTGGATCTCAAACCCAGGTCTCCTAATACCAGATCCACTGCTCTGTCCATTATCCCACATTGCCACCTCCCCATGAGAAATTTGTTTCCCATTGGTATTGTTTTCTTTTTTCTCTCCGAAGAGATTTCTAATAAGTCGGTGTTACAAATGCTGCATTGTATCTAGACTGAAAAATATCTCTTTAATTTTCCTTAGCTATTTTAATATAGTGCATTTTCACCTCTTTCTAGCCCACTATTCCGTCATCACTGGGAAGTACTTTTATGTGGCTGGCTATCCATGAGAATGGTTTAAGCATCTTAGAATATAACTCTATGGTAAGATCAAACCTTACAGTTTTGCATGGAGTCAACTATTTCCATTGCTCCGTATACCAAAAACAGAAGGTAGTGATATCTTAATGTAATTGTTCTCATACACAAAAATATTCTTCCTGATACTGTATAATGAATAGTTCTTTTTAGAAATACAACTATGATTGCAGATTAATCTTTTAAAACAAGATTACATAGGTTATATATTGTGTATGTGAAAAGCATTAAAATACCATGACTAAATTGTGATAATGGTTGTATTTGTAAAATGCCTATTCATCATACATAGTGTTAGAAGATCGCTTCCTATGTAAAATGAAAATCTTTGAGATAACATTAATGTAGAAACTTTAATGACCAAAGTTTAACTTGAGTTTCACTAAGTCTTCTATAACAATTCCTATAATTTCTTGTAAAATCACTTACCAGTTCATTTATACATAGACAGTACTTTAGGGCTTTTTACATGATTAAAGTAAAGGGTTGGTATCCTTTATAAAGCAGATGTCTTATCAAACAATAATGAACACACCAATAGACAAATGGGCCAATGCAATTCACAGAAGAAATACAGATGTTCAATAAATGTATTTTAAAATGTTAATCCCACTAGTAATCAAATAAATTCATTTGAAACAGAGAGATTCTACTTTTCACCAGTCAGGTTGGCAGAGATTTAAAAGAATGATAATATCCAGTGTTGGTAAAGCTGTGGTGCTGAGAACCTTTCTCGAGGAGAGTTTGGAAATATTCTCAAAGTTGTCCTTACTTTTTTGAGGTAGCAATTCCTGTTACTGAGATTCATAACTGAAGAAATAATTATGTATGGGTATTATGAAGTACATCCAGAAATATGCATTGAAGTATTACTTAAGAGAGTAACATATAAAAAAATAACTTAAATATCCTGCAATAGGAGATGTTAAAATGATGTTATAAAAGTACATTTGTTGTCATGGGAAGGTGTTCATAATATGTTAAGTTTAAAAAGAAGCAGAATGCTAAACAATATGCTTGATATTTTATGTTTATTATATATTCAAATCTATATATTGGCATGAACCACATGAATTTACCAGTATTTTATGATTTTTTATGTTAAAAAGTATCAGTTTCATTTGGTTCAACCTAATATAGAAAGAGATATCTTATAGAACATATACAAAACTGTAAACCGTAGTGTTCCGCTGGATGCAGGTATGTGGTGCTTTTTTTTTCTTATATTTTCTCCTTTTTCTGTAGAGCGCTATTGGTTTCAGAATTAAATGTATTTTAATTATAAAGATAGATGAGGCCTAAATAAAACTCATACACTACTCTCTATTTTGGATGATCATAGGTTTGATTTTAGAAAGAGTTTTTGTATTATACATAATTAGTATCAGCATTTTAATGGAAATATGTTATTAATCATTTCTCACTTTCTTTGAAAGTAAAGAGCATATAACATATTTACTTTTTCTTCTTTTTAAAGAGGTTAATTATCAGCTATGTGTACAAGAGTCTAATGACCTTTGGAGGTCATCAAGATGATTTTATGATAGTCATTAACAACGCACAGTCAAAGGACAAACCAACAGAAAAATTACTTTTTGCCATGGCAAAACCCAAGGTGAGTAGAAGCCTTTCTGCTAATTTTTTTGTGCTAGTTTTTTTCATATGAAGACATTTATTTTTTAAAAACTAAGTTCCGGATGGGAAAACAGACTTTACTTATAATCAAACAGCCCAAATTCTGGGTTACCTTATCTTGCTAAGCCTTATTAGTTTTTTCATCTAAAAAATGGCATGATGCTCCCTTCTATATTTGGCTTGAAAATTAAATAAAGGAAGTGTAAAATGCCTTAGCTCAGTGCCTGGTGTATACAAGATTCAAAATAAGTGGTCTTGATGTAAGTTGTTGTTTTCAGGTACTTTATACACATTATCTTATTTACTTGGCATGATTTATTTTATGGACTCAATAGTGAGATGAGCAGGTTTTATAATTAAGGTGTTACTATTATTTTACAATTTTTAACAAACTATGTAGTTTTAATGTCCCTAAGTAAAAGCAGTAAATAATAGGGCTGCATTTTAATAAGTAATTCCAATTTTAGTAAAATGAGAAATTGATTTTCCTAAAACTTTGACTGTCTTAAAATTGTCAACCAGAAGAGACTACATTTTTAGAATCTGTATTTTTTTTTAAGTGCAGATTTTTCTTAATTAAGTCTATATTTAAATGAAGGCAGTTAGCCAGTAAGTGCAGAAGACTGAGACACACGTAGTACTTTTAGTTTAAATGAAGAGTTGATATTATACACTAAATTGCTTAATTCGTTTATTCACAAATGTGGCTTTAAGGTAATTGATCTGTGCTGCCTGTCACATTTTCTAAAATTGCCACTAAATATGATCACTATTAAGATCCACTTTTTCTGCTGGTTTAAATAATGGGAAAATATGTCAGTGCCTTGATGACACTGAACACATAAACATTTCTTTGCTTGATCCAGAGAGAAGGAAATTTTGGTAGCCTGGGAACTTGCAAATGGAGACCACTTATGACCAACCCTTTACTCTCTTTTGTAACTAATGAGAACTTCTCAAGATCATAACAACTATATTTTTCTTGTTTTAGATTCTTGAAATCACTCTTCTGATTGCCAGTTACATAAACAACTTCCATCAGCAAAAGGCAGCCTTTCACCACCTCTCTGCTCCAGCGCTGCTCTCAGCCCGGACCCGGGGACCCCAAGCCAGGGCAATAGGAAGCCAGCCCCTTCTGTCAAGCAGCAGACCCACCAAAGGCCCCACTTTACTCTGAAACCTTGGAAGCCTGAATATTCACTCTATCTCCTCTAAGCAATGGCTGCATCAGCTGCAAATAAGTTCATTTACATCCTGGTAACATAGCACTAGTATTCCAAACATAAAAAATACAGGAGTGACTTGCTTTTATTTAATTCTTAAATATTCAAAAAGGATACTTATAATACACATAAACACAAAGCTCTCACACTGATTTGCTCTTGAATTAAGTGGGTTAGAATTGGTCATTTTTTTCCATCTCCCTTCTCTCTTGCCATCAGACATGTGATGCAATATGGTTTCTTCTCTTTTTTAGAAAATATTCTGGCAGTCTTTAGAGAGAGAGATTCCAAACTCTCATTTGGCAAATCAGTTGATTATATGGAAATGCTCACTGCCAAAAAATTAAGTACTGTAATTAAATGTTCTTTTAATTAATGATACGGTTTTTGGAAAGAAGTAGAGTACACAGTGTAAACAAGAACTACAGGGTGCTGTTTAGAGGTGAATTTTTAGAGCAAGTGCAGTAAATCTTGGGCCCCATGAATCACTGTGCAAGAAAACGAGAATTAGGTAACCAGAGCTTCCTATGTGGTATTAGAAAGTATACCCTGTCACCTTTTCAGATCACTGGAGTGTAAAATGTTAAATAAGACAGTGATTCCTAACATTCCATGGTTGTCAGCATGGCCTGAGTTCACTGGAATCTTGCCCATATTTTGTTGCATTTGGTGCTAGGTCATCTTGACCTTGTTTCATTAAATAATAGTATCTTTGAAAACAAAGCTTTGCCCTCATACAGTCCTTTTTAATTATAGTCAGAACAAATTCTCAGAAATATTTTTCAGAAGAAAAGGGAAAATAATTCTTCTGTGAAAGGGGGGTCAAATTCTAGTTGAAAGAGTCTGGAAATGTATTTCTTTACTAAGTTACGTAAGTGATCAGTACATTCCCGAATGTGTCAAAACAAAGTAATTAGTAGTCATGATAAAAATGAAACTGTGATAAGACATGAAAATTAATTATAAAAATGTTTAATTGCAATAGTAATCATGAGCATACTTTTATTTATGTGTAGAATATTTGTATTTATTTTTTGGACATATATTTATCACTTTGTTTGGGGTATTTTTTTAGCCAATTTGAAAAAAGAAATGTTAGCTGCTGAATGAATTTGTTTCCAGAGCCTTCATGTTTTCTTCTTTGCTGCTTTCTCCCTATGGTGATGTACTGTTCTCACCCTAAGCCTTTTAAAAATGTGCCATCCCATCCTTACAAAGGGCAGTGCCAAAAAGTAAGAGTACTTCATTGGTAATGACAAAAAGAAGGTCAAAAAATCCCACAGAAATAGATTTCCATTTACCATTTCCCCTAAATCCTTTGAGCCACGACCACTCTCTGTGTAAGCAAATTACTTTAGCTTGTAAACCGGTTCAGTTTGGGATGACTCTCAGGAGCCTTTTGACTAGGATATAGTAGAGTTCCTAAGTTCCGAGAAAACCATTTAATAATCATTAGTTGGTGAGCCAGAGGCTTGGCAGAGCTGTTACAAATGGGTGAGGACTTTGCCTTCAAGCAGTAGTTAGTTCACCATCTGGGAAGTGCCCCCACCCATCCACCAAATCTTCTAATTTAAACAAGTAGTGGAGGCTGAGCATAAATGGCAGTACCTTAGGCATAGCATTTATTTTTGATAGAGCAGAAATAAAATATTGTGATGGAAAGAAATCAATTTTCTGAACAGATGATGTGAAAATTTTATTTTCTTGGAAATTACTTGTACAGCCATTTAAAAAATTCAAAGTATGTTATTATGATTGGTTATAAGAGAATAATGTTACATGTTTAATTGTAATATTTGTCTCCTATCATTTTCTTCCCTTTCAATTATAATAAATGATTTACAAAACCCATTTTGAGCATTATCTTTTTGAATAATCTCCAAGAAAAAGCCTAATGTTTTCATTGTCAAAACTGAGGTGTACTACTAGTGAAAATGGTAGTTATTACCTCCTTCTCCTGCGTTCATGCTTTGTCCTCAGTGTTGCTTTGTTTTATCCACATAAAAGGAAGCTGTTTTGGCAAATTGTAATTTTAATACATATGCATGCATATTGACAAATATACAATGTGTGTAAGTCATGGGGTTCTCCCATGATTTCATAATAAGCTTCTTAATGGAAATTATTTCATATATGTGAGTGAAACGGACTGTGTTCTAAAAACTTATTTTAAATGTTCTGGATTTTGTGTATGTGTCAAATACTGTCTGTCATAGCTTGGAAATAAATTTAACTCTCAATTTACAAGAGAAGTTAATCACAACTTATAAAGAGTCAATGTTACAAAAATGTGTTTATTGGTTGTTCGGAAATTTTTTCCATAGCAAAAAGTACAAAGTGGTCAGGTTCATAGAACAATACATTTAACCCATAATTGCACTGTGGTATCATCCTGACAACCACCGTGGATAAACCATATTTCTCTAGAAAAAGGCTGCAAGTGTTCCTGGGATGCGAAGAAAACATTTCACTCATCTACCCACCCCCAAACTGCCCTAGAATTTGGACTTCCTCGGGCAGCCTGGGCGAATCCCTGTGCAGCAAAGGCTCCAGGAGTGTGGGAGCTGAAGTGAGGAGCAGGAATAAGAAGGTAAGGAGGCTTCTCCTCTCACTGACTCATGCAGACATGATCTCCTCTCACAGTTTCCTGGATTCTCTTTTCCCTAAAAGAAGGAAGGGATTTTACTGCTAATAGGAGTAACTTAAAACTCCCAATTAAGATAAAGTCCACACAGAGATGTTTAGGGTGAAATAAGATTCATCCATATTTCAGTGGGACCAAGACTCAGGCTTTTCTTGGACATTTCAGTGGGAAGCTTAGTCCTATAATGAAGAATTAGAAGGGCCTAGGCAGAGGTGGGGATGAGATTAGATAAATACTTGCTGTCTACTACAGTTTTACCTGCTGAACTTAATTTTACCTAAATTGAACATAGTCACAGTGATATTTATAAACAGCATCAATACAAAAACCTTCATTGTATGCTTTATAAGTATCTTTGGGTATTTTGACTAGTATATTGCTAGTCAAGGAACAAAAACTATACTAAGACAACATCTATTAGCAAATAACTGCAAAAAAAAGACACAGATATTCAACACAGCACTTGAATACAGAGTACCATTACTTACAGCATGCCACTGACATGAACTTCTAATTATCAGGGGTAGGTGGGAGGTGGCATCCCTTTCGAAAGTGTTGCTAGGTTATGTTGGTGCATTTGTTAAAATTAGATGGCTCATCAAAATCACAGATAACAAAATAAAAAATAAGACAAGTGGGACCATGCCAAACTTTAACACATCTACATTTCTAAAGAAACAGTTAACAGTGAGATGGCAACCTGCAGAATGGGAGAAAATAATTGTAAGTCATATATCTGGTAAGGTGTTAATTATCCAGGAGAGATAAACTTCTGTAACTAACAGCAACAATAACAAAATAACCTCATTGAAAGTGGGCAAAGGACTTGAATAGACATTTCTCCAAAGAAGACATAAAAATGACAGATAACCACAGGAAAGATGCTTAATATCACTAATTAGAGAAATGCAAAACAAAACCACAATGATATTGCCTAATACCTATCAGGATGGCCTATCAAAAAAACAGAAAACAGTTAAGTTAGCAAAGATACAGAGAAGTTGGAACTGTTAGTGGGACTGTAAAATGGTACAGCTGCTGTGGAAAACAGTATGGAGTTTCCACAGAAAATTAAAAACAGAACTACCATATCATCCAGCAACTCTACTCCTGGATATATACCCAAAAGAAATCAGAGCAGGATCTTGAACAGATATTTACATGTACCCATGTTCAACACAGCATTATACACAATAGTCAGGAGGTAAGAGCAACCCAAATGTCCAGCAGCAGATGGTGAATAAAGAAAATGTGGTTTGTATATAAAATGGAATATTATGTAGCCTTAAAAAGGGAAGTAAATCCCATTAATGTATGATTAAAAATAAGACAAATTTCATCTTTACAAAAAAAACCCTGTCATGTGCTGCCACATGGATGAACCTCAAGGACATTACGCTAAGCAAATAAGCTAGTCACAAAAGGACAAACACTGTATGATCCCACATATATGAAATATATAAAGTAGCCAAAATCATAGAAACAGAAAGGAAGAGGTGGTTACCAAGGGCTGGGTTGGAGGAAGGGGACATTAGTATTAATTTGGTATAAGGATTCCAAGTTGCAAGATGAAAAAGTTCCAGAGATCTATTGCACAACAATGTGAATATATTTAAAATTATTCAACTGGACACTTAAAAATGGTTAAAGGGTAAATTTGATGTTAAGTGTTTTTTACCACAACAATTTAAAAAAAGAAGATCAGATGACTCTTCTTTGTGGCAGTAGCTAAAGAAAGCTAATTTCCCCTCTCACTATGTGGTCTAAGAAACCCCAGGAAGAGTTCCTAAGAACTAATGTTGGATAATACCAGAAAAAACAGCTGAGAAGTTATTAACTTCTTGAAGTTATTAAGTTCTAGAAATTACTATGGACTTATCAAACTCCAAAATGAGAAAAGTTTATAGGAAAGGAGTAACCTTAGAAAAGCTTGAGAAGAATTCTTGCTAGCTTTTGGATTATGCACAGATGAAGATTTTTTCTCCTGGGATGTGGTGTTATCAACACGGATGTCATGTCCCCACTGTTCTACCAAAAATTCTTTACATAAGTTATCATCAACCTAACTGCTAAATGCACTGGACTCCAAATGGTCCAGCTATCTACTGGATGATATCTCAAACTCAGCATGTGCTTTAAACCTGGTTTTCCTACTCAATGTCTGCAACAATTGGTTAACAGGATCATTGACTTATCCATCACCCAAGAGAGAAACTTGACTTTTCTCCCTTTCTCTGAGCCCTTATTTTCTACTTCTAGTAACGGTATTAGACAGGATTTTTTGTTGTAAATTCCAAGCTTCAATTTGAAATAACTTAGACAAAAGAGAGAAGAGTATTACAAGAATGCTAGGATGTCTCACATAAAGAGAGAGCTGAACTCCCAAGCCATAAAGGTGAGGACACAGGTGAGCCTCAGGGACAACTGGAACCATGAGACATGTGCCAGTATTTTCTTATCATATCATTGTGCATCTGCTTCATGTTCTCTAACTACAAAATAGTTTCTTCATTTAGTAGTAAGGAATACCAATTTCCTCCAGAGGGATAAAGACATGATTTTTCCCATTCTAGTCTGAAAAATCCCACAGAAGGGTTCCATTTCATCTAACTCATGTTAGGTGTTTACTCTGAACCACCTCAAATGCTCAATATTAGAATGCTTAATAAATTATTTTATAAAAAATCCATATAGTGGAATATGACACAGCCATTAATGATATGTTTATGATGGGATTTTTAAAAAATTGGTATGGGGAAATACATGTCAAAATCACAATTAATTACCTTTAAAGTAAAATTTCAACTCTGTACAAAAAAAATAAAATGAAATACACCAAAAATGTTAAATAGGTTTTGCTCCTGGGGTGTGCTTATTTTACCTTCTTAATTTTTTCCTTATACTATTTTTTTGTACACTAAGCTTATATAACTTTTAAAACAAGTGGGGAAATGTATAATTCTATCACTTTCTGGGCTATTGTTAATAGCCTCCATATGGATTTCAAGACTGTAAAACACCTTTCAAACAGCTGCAAAAAATTATATCATAGAAACTCAGGTCTAGTATGGAACACTCCTATTTTAAAATCTTATTTGGTTTCTTGTAGCAAGCACAGTAAAATCCAGACTGCAAGATTCTTCCTTCATTGTAGCCCAACCTACCTGCCCAGTTTACCTAGGCCCCACCAGATACTCCATGTGCTTTTACCTGAACAACTCACAGTTCCCCAAATATGTGCTGCACACACTTTTATCCTTCCGTATTGATGCTTATTCTATCTGGCAAGCAACCTAAAATTGTTTCCTCTATCATCGCCATTGAAATCCTTGCATCTTCTCAGAGTGATCCAGTAAGGGAGCAAATTTTTGTATATTTTACTGTGAGAATAATTTTCATCTACCTAGGAAGGTCACTTTCTTTGTCCATGTATGAAGCCTTAGGAGGCATACAGGTAGAAAAGAAAAGTCAGCCACTCAACCAGATCAACTGAGTTACCCCTTCGAATTATTGTGGTGATCAGGGCCCAGGGACACAATTTTTATCTTTATTGTTACCAGGTTCTCTTCTTCAACCACCTATCCCAGTTATCCAAACAATTATATCTTTAAAATGCTAGTACTGTGCCTAGTACTTAGCAAACAGTTGGCAAAATTTTTGCTGCCATTATTGTTACTCATATCAACAGGGCTTCCTAACTAACATGTAGAGGGATTCCAAAGTCCCAGAACACAAATCATTACGATTCATTGCAATCTGTCCCACATCAGTTTGTGAATTTACAGGCTGACTGTATAGGCCCTAGGGCATAGATCCAATTCCATGAAAAATCTGTCAGCTTCCCATGCAGTCATTCTTTCTCCATTGAACTCCATTGCCACTACATTCCTTCCTGTGTGCAACTGTAATCTCCAAAATATACAAGGCTTTGGAAGGATTTTCTCCCCAAAGATTTTATCTGAAGTGAATGCCTTTTTTTTTCCTAAGAAAAACCCCATCTGTTTCATTTCCAGGAAGTAATCTTTATGTTTCTCTGGTCAAAGTTGCTGATCAGCACCTTCAACATGGTAATAACAAGCAGTAAGCCATTATAATGTGTCAGATGCACATAAATTATATTTTACATATATTATTCTTATTTAAAACTCATAATTTTCCCCTGCTTTGTAGGACTGGAAACTAAAGCTCAGAAGAATTGAGTAATTTACCAATTGTGGCAATGTGGTAAGGACTTAAATCTAAGTCTATCTTACTCTAAAGCCCATGTTCTTGAACATTACACCAGAGAAACCAAGCCAAGGGGCAGAAAGGTTGGGGCAAAGTATTGCCTTCAGTTCAGGACACTTTGGCATAGAAAGACTGGGTTTTTGTAATCACATAACCCTGTTCACTAAGGTTGAGCTTGAAATTTGTAAATCTTTTTTATTTATGCTGCTGTTTTGTCCTCAGATCAATACTGTCACTGCCCTTACCTCCTGTAGGCATAATTAGTTACTTGTTCTTATGTAAGCTTTTTAAACCTTTCTGCAACAGCTTGTATCAGTGGCTTCCTTTAGGTTATTATAATTAGTTATGTATGTCTTTCTCCAGGGAAGGGGTCTTGTCTTATTTCTTCATTCCTTA